ATATTTATATTTATATTTATATATTTATATTTATATATTTATATTTATATATTTATATTTATATTTATATTTATATATTTATATATCTATGTGTATATCTTACTCTCATTCCCCAGGTAAGGTTTGCTGCTTCTATGAGTATGCCAGGTAAGAAGGTGCCGAGGACATAGCCAGCGACATTATAAACCATTAAACAAAAACCGCTGCCGAATGCTCTAACTTCAACAGGAACAGAAGCAATAACAACCCCAGTAGCAGCAGGAAGAAGAGACCCTCCGAAGAAAAGTATCAGCCACATGCATGCAACAACAACCCAGAAGCTTGAAGACCATCCAGCCCCAACACCGAGTAAAAAACAAGAAAAAGCAAAACAAAATAATATCAATAATGTACGCCTCATGCCTCTTTCATCTTTATAACCTCCTATAAAATCTATCAGCCAGCCTCCAAACAATACACCTAATATAGGTGCTGTTGCTGCTGTTATATTAAATGCAATCAATACTGTTCCTATTGGGTACTGCAGCAAAACAACACACATAGCATAATAAATATCTTCAATATTAAACTTAATAAATGTTATTATATTTATAATTATTTTCATTGTTCTCATTATTTAACATTGTCGTAGTCTTCATCACTACACTAATTATTATCATCATAGTAGCAATAATAACAATAGTAATAATAATAATTAATAATAATAATAATAATAATAATAATAATAAGAATAGTAATAATAGTGTTAAAGCATGCATAGTATTATAATGAGGTAAAGTGTTAAAATTATGTTGGCGTAAAATCAATAAAACTTCGACTCTCTTCACGTTCTCTTTCTTTTCATTATTATAAAGTAAGTCATAGATTATTAATATTACTACTACTAATAATAATATAAAAATAATAATAATTATTATAATGAAAATGATTATTATTATTTCTAATAAAGAAGAAGAAATACCCCAAATACTCTTAAAGAGCATGTAGTAGATTATTAGTATTAGTCCTAACACTATTATTAGTATTATTGTAATTACTATAACTATTATTATAATTATAATTATAATAATTATCATTATTAATATTATTACTTGTAAAAGAAGAAGAAATACCCCAAATACTTCTTGAAAGTAAGTAATAGATTATTAGTATTAACCCTAACACGATTATTAATAATATTATTATAATTATAATTATAATTGTTATTATTATTATTAGTAAGAGAAGAAGAAATACCCTAAATACTTCTTGAAAGTAAGTAATAGACCAGAATTGAATGGCGGTAACTTCGAAGAAAAGAGCGCAGAGAGCGAACGTCACGCAAACATACATCGGGCTCCTGAAATATCAAACAAACAAACAACAACAAATGCATGCAGCCCCAAACCTCCCCCTATATATAATATATATATATATATATATAGCGCATGCGTGCTACGTGCTTCCTTGCTGCTGGTTATTATTAGTTGGTGTTTATAATTACTATTTGTTTGTTAATATGTGTTTATTATTGTTTTATTACTATTATTTATAATAAACGATAATTATTTATAATAATAATAACAATTAAAATAATAAAATGAGTGAGCAAACAAACAAACTAAACAACTAAACAAAACAAACGAACGAAAACAAACTAACAGAAAAACAAACAAACAAACAAACAAACAAACAAACAAACAAACAAACAAACAAAGCAAGCAAGCAAACAAACAAAACAAGAAACTGACGAGAAGAGGATGCGAATAGACTCGCAGACACCGTGGGTCTTGGGGCCTCTCTTTTTGTCTCTGCTGCACTTTGCTGCTGGTGGTTCCTGTGTACATACACCCCAACGCATGCAACATGCAGCCCCATTACTTCGGTCTCCAACTGCTGCTGCTGCAGTTGCTGCAAAAACTGCTGCTGCTGCTGCTGCTGCAGAACAGCGGAATACCCGCTAAGGACCTGCCCCCCTCCGCAGCACTGCAGCAGCAGGAACAGCACCAGCAGCAACAGCAGCAGCAACAGTTCTCGCGCTACATAGTGCCTTACCGCCTTCTGTGTCTCTGCATCAGGAGCAGCAGCAGCAGCAGCAGCTGCTGCAGCAGTTGTCTCCTCACAGCCCAGCTCGAGGCGAACGTCTGGGGCCCCCATAGAAGGGGGGCCCTCTGGGGCCCCCTCAGGGCTAAGATCCCCCGAGAAGAGCTGCATTTCGATATCTCCTTCAAGCCCCTCAGCGTCCTCTGACGACTTGCTGGACGCCTGCTGCTGCGTCTGCTGCTGCTGCTGCTGCGTCTGCGTCTGCTGCTGCTGCTGCTGCTGCTGCTGCTGG